GGAGGCGCCAGGTTTGACTGCACCAATGCAGCTTTCCAAACCCCTCGGGCTCTCCTCCCCTCTCTCTGCAATTGTCAAAATCCACACATCCGAACTCCCCAGCCCAAACATTTGAAATCAAGTTGGCAGATGAAGCTCCAAGCCTTGAAAATTCCGACATACAAGACATTCCTCTCGGCCTGAACAGCTGGGTTTAGAATGCAGAGCAGCGGCTTCATTCTTTGCAAGTTGCTTCCATCTGCTCTCCCCCAGTCTTCGGGGATGCTAGCTTCAATCTCTGAGCCGCAGCCGCCCCCAGGGACCCCCCCGGCGGCATTGCCACTGGTCCTAAGGGCATCTTTCTCTCTTCCTGTCCTAGTTATGGCTACAATGACATCGTCACCATCCCAGCTGGGGCCACAAACATTGATGTGAAACAGAGGAGCCACCCAGGGGTCCAGAATGACGGCAACTACCTGGCCCTGAAGACGGCTGACGGGCGGTACCTACTCAACGGCAACCTGGCCATCTCCGCCATTGAGCAGGACATCTTGGTGAAGGGGACCATTCTCAAGTACAGCGGCTCCATCGCCACCCTCGAGCGGCTGCAGAGCTTCCGGCCCCTCCCTGAGCCCCTCACCGTGCAGCTCCTGACAGTCCCTGGTGAGGTCTTCCCCCCCAAGGTCAAATACACCTTCTTTGTTCCCAACGACGTGGACTTCAGCATGCAGAACGGCAAAGAGAGAGCAACCACCAACGTCATCCAGCCGCTGCTGCATGCGCAGTGGGTCCTGGGGGACTGGTCCGAGTGCTCTACCACCTGTGGAGCTGGCTGGCAGCGGCGGACGGTGGAGTGCAGGGACCCCTCCGGCCAGGCCTCCACCACCTGCAACAAGGCTCTGAAACCTGAGGATGCCAAGCCCTGCGGAAGCCAGCCGTGCCCCCTGTGACCTGCCCGGGGGCCCGGTCTTGTGCTCTAGACAGGGGTGCCTGGGATGCAGACGAGAGTCCCTGCCATGGTGACCCTGGTGTCCAGGTGGCATGGCCTGCTCAGGCCTCCCATTGCAGCAGCGCCTTGGGCACTGCCTCAATCCACAAGGGGGAGGAGAAGAGGGAATCGGAGTGATATAACCCAAAGTCAGCTGTCTAGTGGACTGGACCTTGCTCAGGTTCGAATAGCGGGCATAGGTTAAAAGGAAAAAGGGCACTTAACTGACCCAAACAGGAGACTCAGGGTCAGCCTGTTTGCAAAGGACTTGCTAAGGTAAATGACAAGACAAAAAAAAAAAGTTTCTATTTTGGTTTCCCCGATAAATAATCTACCTCAGAGGGGAAAAAATATTAGTACAAGAGAGTGTGGGGCCGGGAGTCAGTGGCAATTGTCAAAGCAGACGCCACAGCCGTACCCAGAACTGTTTTCGACCCAGAACTGTTTTCGAAAATGCCCAGGACTGTCTTCAGTGTTAAAACGCACCGCCTGAGGGCCCAGCGTCACAGCGCTGTGGAGAGCCACGTGCTCTCAGGCTGCCCCGGCAGGGGTGGGTCCCTTTCAAGTATTTATGCCAATGTGTCTCTGAACTAAAGTGTGATCTTGTGCCAATGCAGTGGTCTGGTCTAGTCCGTTAGATGACAAAGACTGGAGGCCCAGAGTCCGAGGACAGAGGCTAACGCGCGCTCTGCTCCCCCTGAGTGCAGGCATGGGGCAGCCGATCTCATGAGTTTCCCGGCCTCTCCTTGAGTCAATGAGGCAGCTACATCGGGTTCTAACAAGCCTGGAGGCTCCACTCACTCAGCAGTAGCCTCTTGTTTGCATGATGTGGGCCTCTGGCTCTGGAGCTCTTAGGGGCATCAGGGGCATCTAGAGGCAAACCCAGATTGCTGAAGCCAAGGCCCTAGAGGTCTGAGCATATGTGGTTCTAGCAAGTTCCCGGGGTGGGGTACAGAAGCTGCTGGTGGGGGCAGGGAGGGGAATCACACTTGGAGAACCCCTTTGCTAAAAGAAATTTCCAGCTCGGAGGTCACCATGGTTATCTGGTGCCTTCCGGGCTTGTTACTCTTGAGAAAGAATACCCCGTCGCACTCTGGGAGCTGCTCCATCGTGGCCCTTGCGTGCTGGCCTACCTTGTTTCATTGTAGCTGGAGGCGCAAGATTCTCCTAAGATCTGAAGAAATCTAAACCCGGATCTAAGTGACATCATCCCCATGAGCTCAGCACCTGCTCTCCACCCAGCCCACAACAGATTTCACCCACACTTGACAACGCTTTTGGCCCAGGCAACTTCAGCTGTCACAATGAGCCCTTTTCCCCAGCATGACCTCCCCCCGCCAGGCACCTGCGGTCTACCTGAGACCCTCCAAAATCCCTGCTTCCACCCCGTATTTCCTCCTCTCTCCCATGGCTTGGAGGAACTCTCCGGCTCTGTCTTCCATTTGGCCTGGTGGAAATGCAGCTTAGTTCTTGGTCACAAAAGGCATGAGAAGGAATGAATGACATCAAGACATGACGGTGTGGCCCTGGTGTCAACAAGGACTCAGACCCTTGGGGCACAGAGCAAGGCCAGTGGGATTTCAGCCCCGACAGTGCCCCGCAGCCACCTCTTCACGGTGGCGCTGGACATAGAGTTGACCACGTTTTCTGTCTGCTCACTCTTTGCAGTGAGTGGGAGGCCAGGTTTACCTAAGCATAAACAAGCACACACACACACAGGCAATGTTGTGGACTGGTGAAACCAGATTTTCCCTTGCTGTGCACTGGTTCTCTTGGGGTTGATGTATATTTCTGCAACTTTTTCTCTCTGTGTGTTTCTCATTCTCCCACTCTCCCCCCACCCACACACTCACCCCCCCACCCCAAATAATCAAGGACAAATGTGTCCCCCTCTTAACTGGCCAGGCCTAGCCAGCTGTGCCATCCCCAGCGCTTGCATCGTGAGCAGGCACAGCTCCTGTCCTGGAGTTCAGCTGGCAGCAGTGCTGCCGATGTGCAAAGCAGAATGGAATCCAGCTTGGCTCTCCCTTGCTGTGTGGGCTCGGCAAGGCTCACAGAATACATACTTGTTTGTGTCTGGAAATTCAACAGCTGCAGCTCAGGGACTCAGAAAACAGATCTGCAGAGGGAGACCACACCATTCTTTGTCCCAGACAACCATGACCACCCTTTTAGCCCAAAGAAGCAAAGACTGTTTGCTCCCCTCTGAGAGTTCACATTTGTCAGCTGGGGTTCTGATGCACACTGGTACTGGTGTCTTCTGATGGGAGCCCTGGGGCCCTGACTCAGCAGATAATGTGGTCATGAATCCGGATCCTGTGAGCACCTGCCAGCAGTATTGCAAAGGTGGTTCATTAGTGTCAAAGCTCATTGCCAAGCGTTCATCCTTAAGATAAGTGAACCTTTGTCTGGGGTTTATCCTCTGCCCTGTATTCCCTTTTAGTTGACCAGAGGTTTTTATGACTTTGGGGAGGGAGCTCCCCAAGTCAGAGCAGCATCTTCCTGCCAGTATCTGCTACCCCGGCTCCACCACAGATTAAACCATCAGCTGCTGCTCTCAGGCCCCGAGCATGCACTGCCCATGGGTGCTAAGACAGAAAACAGAAGCAGAGGCACAACCGCATTCCTGCCCTTGAGAAAGAGAAGCAGGGGGTTGCCGTCTTTTTTGGTGGCCTGTGACTGAGGACAGTGTGTCTTTACAAGGAACGTGCTCTTCTAGCCTGGCATGTGGTCCTGCAGTCCTCAGGCTGGGCTTGCAGTGCCGAGAAAGCTACATGCGGAATGTGAAAGGGAGAGACGGCACCCATCTTGGCTGACATTTTTTGCTGGCCTAGCGTAGGCGATTGTTAAGAGGACAAATACAAGGGGACTTCAGAAAGCATGTGGGGAAAATGGAATTAAGAGAGAAATAGGAGTTTCCCGTGAATCTTTGAAGCATCCTGGTGCAGTGGTCTCTTCGACCCTGCATGTGAAAACACAAGGTAACACCATGAGAAGTCAAAGCTGCAGTGCCAAGGGAGCAGAGTGGTTGGGGTGCAACTCCCTTGCTTTGCCTGCAGTGCAACTGCCCCCTCCTAGGCCCCTGGGTGCTTCCAGATCAACCCCTCAGAACAAAATAGTGTACCTCTTCATAACATGTGCCATGTTTCCCTGGTCCACTCTTCTTCAGACACAGAGCTTCTCTGACATCCCCCTAGGAAACAGCTGGCCTTGCTTAAAATTGAGTGCCAGCCAACCCACCCCATCCCAACCAAAAAAAAAAAAAAAAAAAGAAAAGAAAAAGAAAAGGGGGCTTGGCACAGCCACTGCACAAGGACTGGGAAGAGAGAGGACACCCGATGCACCAGTACATTTCAAGCTGTGATGTTAAGGCAAGGAGAGAGAAAGCCACCTGTCTCTTTCAGAACATTCTTCCCCTCAGGCCTTGGGCTCAGTGAAGAGAGGCAGGAACATGCTGGCTAGTTTTCCCCATGAGCTGCCCAGCCCACCCCTGGCAGGTGCGCCATTGCCCCAGGAAAGGAGAAGTGGAGAAGCCTTCCCCAGCCCTCACCGGCCCTCCTTCCAAACAACTTGTAAGTCCCAGGGGCACGGAAAGAGTTTGTCCTCCGCCAAACACAACTTCCTGTTTCTAAGAAAGAGAAGAAAAAAATAGTTGAAAGGGTTTTGGACACTGGCGATCTCAAGTTTCTGTAAATGCGGATGAATCAGACACATGTGGAAGAAATCTCTCCGGAAGTAAGAAGACAGACTGAGTTGCTTCTGCTGGACAGAATGTGGGAAAGGGAGCTGGAAGAGGGGACCCATTAGATGCTGAAAGGAGACGCAAAGGCCACATGAACGCCAGATCAGAGAGGGTCCCAGGGATGACAAGGGCCAATGACGCCACTCCCGAGGTCACACCCTGACTTCTGATTACTCAGAACTTCTCCACCTCTGAAACTGTAGATTCAAATATCCTACTCCCGGACCCGGCATTGAGGCATAGCCTGTAAAACTGCTGGCATCCCATATGGGTGCTGGTTCAAGTCCCAGCTGTTCCACTTCCAGTCCAAGTGGGAGACTGGGAGCAAGCTCTTAGCTCCTGACTTTGGCCTGGCCCAGCCCTGGCTGTTGCAGCCATCTGGAGAATGAACCAATGGATAGAAGATCTCTCTCTCTCTCTCTCTCTCTCTCTCTCTCTCTGTGTGTGTGTGTGTGTGTGTGTGTGTATATATCTCCCTATCTCTCTGTAACTCTTTCAAATAAATAAAATAAATCTTTAAAGAAAAGTTTGAAGAATGTCTTACTAAAAAAAAATCCTACTCGCCAATCACAACTTCCCATGCTTCTAGAATGCTCATCAGTCCCCACTAAACTTATCCTTGTTCATCATGGGCCTCCAGCCCTGACTATCGCCATTTAAATGTACTTTCCCCAGATGTCTTTGCTTCTGCCTCTACTCCTGGGACTCCAAGCTCCAGCACCTCAACCTTGATCTTGCCGACATTCCTTGTCCCACCAACCATCTGTGATGTGCAAACCTTCACTCCGGACCCATTCAGCTCTTCCCTCATACCCACCTCCTTCGTGCCAACAAGCAACATCCACACCACTGGAGAACCACTGAACTCTACAGTTATGGTGTGAACTCTGTCCAGCGACCCCAGCAGGCTCCCCCACTCAGCTCCATCTCCAGTCCTCCACAGAAACTGCCTTCCACTCCGCAGTATCCTCAGCCTCACCACACCGCCACATTTCACTGAACGCAGGTGCCACTCCGTGGAACCCAACAGTGTATCTCTCACCCCAGTAGAAGGAGAGGGGACACCCTGTCACTGTCAGATAAAAATCCAAACCTCCTAACAAGGTCCCACCTGAAGGTTGCCTGCAGGCTCCCAGTCCTATTGCGCAGTCTGAATGCGCCCCTCCGGTGACGTTTTCCCCCATCAGTTTCTCAGGCCCTTTGTCACAGCAGGCCTCCGCACCTGCCTGCCCCAGCCCAGGCTCTCTCCTCTGCTCACTGCTGGGCATCCCCACTTCTTCCTTTGAGTTTCGGGCGGGAAGGCATAGCCTCAGGTGGTTCTCTCCGCCTTCCCCAACCTAAATGAGGCCCTGTGACTCTTTTTTTCATAATTAGCCATTGTATACACTGCATGTCCATTGTTCATTTAGTGCCTGCCCCTCTTTCCGACTAGAGGGCAAGGATTCTTTGCTGATGGCTTCATGTGTGGAGGCCAAGTTCTTGCTGGTCACACAGCAGTGCGCAGTTCCAGTCAGCTCCGGCTGCCATAACCAAACCAACTACAAGGCTTCAGCAACAGAAATCTATTTCTCACAGTTATGGGTGCTATCCCAGGGGATCAATGTAGAAAAACTGATTCAGTACTCCACTGGTCTGGATAGCCTCACCCCAGCTAGAAATGAAATCTGAGGAAGAATTTGCTAGAACTTCAGCTTCCTGGGACCAGCGTTGTAGTACAGCACACGAGACCACCATTTGCATACCTGGCATCCAATATGGGAAAATACCTGTTTGAGTCTTGGCTGCTCTGCTTCTGATTCAGCTCCCATCTATTGCACCAGGGAAGGCGATAGAAGATGGCCCAAGTCCTTGGGCCCCAGCCACCCATGTGGGAGACCAATGGAGTTCCAGGCTCCAGGCTTCAGCCTGGCCCTGGCCATTGCAGCCATTTAGGGGAGAAACCAGCATATGGAATGTCTGTCTGTCTGTCTCTCTCTCTCACTCCCACTCTGTCTTTCAAATAAATAAATCTAAAAACAAAGAACTTCAGCTTCCAACCATTTCAACATGACTTCAATGTCACACACATGTCAAAGGGGATTAGCGTGTATATTCAAAGAGCATCAGATACAGAGTTAGATGTTCTGGTTCAAGTTTCGTCTCTGCTCTTTATCAAGTATCTACAGGTGGCCCTGAGTAAGCCACAGTCCCTGTGAATTTCAGTGTCTTCTAGAAAATGCCTTATTGACTTCAAATGGGAGAACGTTATAAGTAGGTGCTTTGCAAATGACAGTGGGTAGGAATGCAATACCTTATGTCCTTAGGCAATTGGGGACATCACTCACTGGAACAGCATTTTGGTTACAACCAAATCTCTGGGTCAGAGATAGGTGTAGGTAAAGAAGGAGAGAGAAAAGCAAAAAATTACTTAACTCAGTGAACACCAGAATGGGTGGTATAAGTTCTGTGCATGCTGGCAAATAAGAGAGATTTGGGGCAACAGAAATCAAACCTGGATGTATCTGACTCAGTGGTGTGGAACCCTGGAATCCAGAGTCGGCCTTGGCAGAGATGTGCAATGTGTACCACACTCGTCTGTCCTCGGAGTGCTGAGCCCTGGGGAAATAAACACAGTTTGGGCTGAAAATATCAACTTTATTTTTTATAACTGCAAAAGACTAAAACCAGGACCAGCGCTGTGACATAGTGGGTAAAGCTGCCATCTACAGTGCTGGCATCCCATATGGTCCCTGGTTCGAGTCCTGGCTGCTCCACTTCTGATCCAGTTCTCTGCTATGGCCTGGGAAAGCAGCAGAAGATGGCCCAAGTCCTTGGGCCCCTGCACCCTCGTGGGAGACCCGGAAGAAGCTCCTGCTTCAGATTGGTCCAGCTCCTGCTATTGTGGCCATTTGGGGAGTGAACCAGCGCATAGAAGACCTCTCTCCCTCTCTCTCTCTCTCTCTCTCTCTCTCTCTCTCTCTTTCCATGCCTCTGTAACTCTACCTTTCAAATAAATCTTTTTAAAAAAACTTTAAAAGAAAAGACTAAAAACAAACCAATGCCCATATGTATGTCGCTAAATACATTCTGAAAATCCATTAAAAAATCCTGTGTAACACTAAAAAAAAAACTGAAAAGAGAGCAAGATGGTGAGCAGTCTAAATGGTGCGCTATGGCCGGTGGGCAAAATACCTTAGTGTACGTATGTTGGCATCTGTATAAAACATGTGTGGTGGCACAGTGGGGCTGCTTCAACATGGCTGCCTCCCTGTGGAAACGAGAGGAAAACTAGGAAGCCTGGAGACGAGATTGGAGAGACTTGTCACTCTCTGCGCTTTTGTACCTTTTGAGCTTTGCGCCACGTCATTGGCACAGCACTATTGTTTGAGTTGTGTTGTCAGCACAATCGGACTGTAGAAGCATCTCAGACCTAGAACCAATGGGCTCCCTGAGTCCCACCACCCAGCTTTCTCCCAGAAGGTCAGATGCCATGACCCGCATGTAAGGAAGTAAAATCGAGACAGCCACATGGAGGACCAGAGCCCCAGCACACACACTGTCCGTCCCCGAGATATGGAACACAGGGGCCGCCAACAGCCGCACCTGTTTCCCACAGCAGGAAAGAGTGGGAGGAGAGGGGCTGGCGGTTTCTCCCCCTGGCTTCCTCCCTCACTGTGGCAGAGTTGAGGATGGGGACCACGAGCACCCTCCAGACCCGGGCTGGAAAACTCAGCATGCAGGGGAGGAGTGAGAGCTGGGGCACACGTGCGGGACAATGGCGCTGAGGAGTTGGAAGCCAGGAGGGAAGACAAGGCAGGGCTGAATGGACGGCTGATGAGAAGAAATATACGGTGTTGGAGTTTTGTAGGTCACAGGGCCCAAAAAATGGACCCAGCGATCCAGCGACCTGCCCGAGCTGGGACAAGGACGGACCTCACCAGAGCCTGATTCAGCCGTGTTCTGAGGAAGCCCTTGCAGGTCCTCTGCCACATTCCCGCCCCCCACGTTTAGAAAAGCCACCAGTGTTCTGGTTTCCATTTGGCTTTGTTCAGTGGCAGCCTCTGCTCAGCCAGTCTCTGCAGAGGGGCCAAAGCGCCAAGAAACTACACACAAGAGGAGCAGCAGCCTGGGCAGGATCAGAAAATGCCAGCGCCTTTGCCACCGAGCCTCCTCCACGGAGACTGCCAGGAGAGAGCTTTGCAAATGGAATCCATCTGCACGCAGCTGATGAGAAACATCTGAGGCAGAGAAGCCAGGACTCCCGGAGATCGGTGCGTTGCCCACTGCGGAAGGCCGGAGTGCCTTCCCCAAGGTTTCTGCTCGGAGCGAGGCTTTGCACTCGCAAGAAAGACATGGGCTCCTTCTGGGAAGCCCGTGCAGACCCTGTGGTGGGCCCTGACCTCACAAAGCCCACTCTCCTGCCTGTCCCCTCTGCACATGCGTGCCCCAGTCTGCCCCGGGGTTACTGGGCCTCGTTGCTCTGTTGGGTTCAGGCCGACAGGGGCAGGTTCTAGGTAGATTTTGGTCATGGATGGTGCCTGTTTTTTTTTCCCTGGAATTTGAGAAGATCAGAAAACCTGACTCACTTGACCAGGTGTGAACTCCCCACCTCCCATGTAGAAGACCATGATTCCTCCCAATGCAGTCAAAGAATTTGGGGCACTCTCCTTCGGTTTCCTCTGCAATGAAACCTGATGTCCAACGGGTGGTGGCATTATTCATTGCTTCACACACGTTCCGGATGATGTCTCGTAAAGAACTCTCTGCCTGGAGCTGAAGAAAGAGCGAGTTAAATAGGAAAGCTATAGGAACAGTGGTGGTCTCGCAAATGCCAAGGGAAATTGCAACCTGATTCTCATACTTGAGGTTGGATCCTAGACTCACCCACCCTCTGGATGGAAAATGACAATACCCCCAGGTACAGCAACTTCAGATGGATAATTGTTTGTCCAGTTCCTTTGTCCTCGTTGCTTTTCCACCATCCCGCCTTTGTTTCGAGCAGGAGGCCGGCTGCGATTGCCCGGCAGACAAGTGGACAGTGCACACGCTGGCGTGACGCTTGCATTAATTGAGTGCTTCTCGTCCAGCTGGCGTGAGCAGGGAAATTGCTCAATGCAGACCTGGCATCTGCAAAGCTCTGGTCCAGTCCCGGGCCCGCTGGTGATGGATGGTTCTGTGATTCGATAGAGCCACCCGTCCAGAAACCATTAAACCAAGAGTTGCCCTATGTCTCGGTTTCTCTGAAGGATCTCTTCACCATGTGTTACTCTGAGCATAAACATTATGCTGACCTTGATCCAGGAATTTAAACAGTGTCATTTAATGTAAACGCTAACAAATACCTTCTTGCTGAAGCGGTCTGTTTTCAGCGTGGGTAAAGGTTTCTTCTCTACGAAAGTACTTCGGGGCATTGGATTTTAAATTTCGCAGGCAGATCTGCAATTCTTCTCCCATTTACGTTGCCTGGCCTTCCAAGCATTCCTGCCAGCTTCGAAGGTTGAGGGAGCCCTCTGCTGATGGCTTGGCTGTAACTTCACGGCACGTAGCAAGGAAAACGAGATGACGTCTCAAGAACTCCCAAATTGGAGAGCTGTCAGCTTGAGACATGACTGTCGCTAGGAGATCTAGTGCAGGCTTCTGCTGCGAGAAGCCAAGGCTCCAGATATGTCCTTGACTTCCTCCAACTACCCACATGACTTCAGGTTTTATTCTTTTGGGCAAGAGAAGAAAAAAGTCTGGAGGAGGTTCCCACCCTGTGCATCGAAGACTTCATGCTTCCGTATGCACATATGCGTCTGTACGCACACATACGCCACACCAAACACACACTTCTGTTTTTACACATGTACACACAAACATAACGTACGTGGCAAGGCCCACTACAGGAAGATTCTGCCCTGTGTACGTGTCCTGGAATACAGGAGTGGGTGGTACCCAAGTATATCCTCAGTAATCCCAGGATCGTGGGACTGAATGGAACATTCTCCAGATGAAAGACTCTGACCAGGCCACAGCTTGAGAGGGAGAGGAATTCTCTCCAGCGGCTGGGGCCTTGATGCTGGAGGTTAACAGCTTAACACCAGGGTGTGGTGCCCCATTCTGAACCCTGGAAATTAATGGGGATAAAGGTGGGCTGACTGCCAAGCCCTGGTGTGAATCCCAAGAGAAGCGCCTTTCTATTTTGAGATCTGTCCCCATCCACGGCATGCTGTCCTGAGCTGTGACACATGTCCCATCGCTCCTTCTATAGGCTTCCTACCCCAACTCTGTGATTCCTGAGCTTTCTGGAGTTTTCGATCCATGGACCGTGACAACAATTTACTCCCTGATCACGTGGTAGAATATGAACAAAACACCTGACCCAGACGTCCATGGGGAGAACCAACAGCATGAGCTCCCCCTTACCCAAAGCATCCCAGGAAACGCGGGCAGTGGCTGAGGACTGGAGGAAGCCCGGAGCAAGGGGTCACCTCTCTCATGACAGCCCTTAGGCCACTTTCATCTCATGACTTCCCCCTTCTCCGTGTGTCAGGGCCTGACAATGCTTCAAGCCTTAGCTTAAATGTCACCTCCTCCAGGAAGGCTTCTTCAGCTTGCCCAGACATGGGGAACTGTCCTGTGTTTACCCGCAGGATTCTGTTTACATCCTTCTCCCATCCCACCACGGAATACTCACAGTTTGTAAATTGAGGTCAAGGCCAGCTCTTACTCATGTCTGTGTCCCCTGCTGAATTCCGCCCCCAGGTCACTCCATGCCCCTCTATCCTCCGGCTCCTATTCCCCATCCTTGCTCCTCGGTCTGCTGCCTATCAGAGCGCCTCCCACAGACACCAGTCATTGCTCCATTAAACCAACACCTAAGGAGTCGGGGAGAGAATACTCCACAGACAGAAGAAAGGCAGTGCCGTGATGACAGGCAACCGATGTATCATGTCAGACCCTAAGTACTCTCATGTGTCAGTTCCAACACGGCTCATCTAGAAGCTTCCCAAGATTCTCAGTTTCTCCAGTCCAGGAACCCTGTTTTATACCTGTGACCACAGAGCATTGGACCAGAGTTCGAGTCACTGTAAATTCGAAAAAGACCCCCTTCCTCATGATACATTACTGACAACTGCTAGAAATCTGTCATTAAAAACTGTTTAAACTTAAACTTGCTGTGAACAGAAGGTAAGTGACAGTCCCCAGGGTTGTGCGATGGGCTGCCCCAAGTTTGCTTCTAGGAAACTAAATGATATTCTGAATATCACATACTTCATGACTCACAAGAAATTCTTGGTCAGAGATTACCGGAACGCTTCTAAAGTTTAATCCATTTCTGAAAGTTCTCTTGTGGAATTACTTTCACAGCCCTTTTATAAGCCACACATAAAAATTATGCAGTGGGAGACGGTTTGTCTTTTTTTTTTTTCTTTTTGTAATCCCTTGTTTCGTGCTGAAGTCATATTAGCAGACTTGTGTCTCCATTTGACTAATCAGATGTGGCTAAAAATGAATTTCAATGCTTCTAAAAGTCAAACCTATTGTTTAAAGAAAAAAGGTTTGTGACCACTGACTAATCAGAGAATTCCAAGGGCATTGTCCAAAAATTAAATTTTGCTGTAAAAAGCATTTATAACTTACGTGCATATCCCAGATATTCCCAAATCTCTAATTATAAAAGGTTAGGCACATTATTGTTTATTTAATTCAAACTGTCAAGTACTTGTTGAATATAAAAGCCGTTGAGGGCTGCAGATTGTAAAGATCAGATCTTCTGAGTCTGTGACAGAATCACAAGAAACCTGGGACTTTGGAAACAACTCAAGCTGGGCGCTCAGTAAAGCTGACACTGTGGATGGCTTCAGGGGATTTCAGTGGCATGATGTTCTCTGGTCTCCTTTCTGGACTTGAGAATAACTTGGATTATTACTTCATTCCAATTTTCCAGTCTTAACCAAAGAATGTCCTTGAAAGGTCATCGGATTCACTAATAAATGCTGCCAACTCCGTGCTTTTTCAAGCATGGATTATTCATTTAATCAACAAGCACTTTCAGGCCCCTGTCACGTACAGCACATAGTACCCAACCCTACAGGAGTTACGAAGATGATCAACAGTCCAGGGAAGACTAGACTCGGATTCTAATCTAAAATCTGTAGGTTGAAATCAAGATAAGAAAGAACATATCAGGGCTGGTGCTGTGGCTCAGCAAGTTAAAGCCCTGGCCTGCAGCACCAGCATCCCATATGGGCACTGGTTCAGGTCCCTGCTGCTCCACTTCCAGTCCAGCTCCCTGCTACTGTGCCTGGGAAAGCAATGGAGGATGGCCCAAGTCCTTGGGGCCCTGCACTGACGTGGGGGACCTGGAGGAAGCCACAGGCTTCTGGCTTCACCTTTGATCTGTCTTGGCTGTTGCAGCCATTTGGGGAGTGAACCAGCAGATGAAATCTCTCTCTCTTTCTCTCTCTCTCTCTCTCTAACTCTGCCTTTCAAATAAATCAATAAATCTTTTTTTAAAAAAGAAAAGAAAAGAAAGAATCTAGTAGGGTGGGTGTTTGTAATAGTGGTTAAGACACCACTAGGGACCCCCAATCCCATATTGGACTTTCTGGGTTCAAATCCTAGCTTCACTCTTGATTCCAACTTCCTATTGATATGCGCTCTAGGGGGTGGCAGATGATGGCTCAAGTAGCTAGATTTCTGCCACCCATGTGGGAGACCCAGACTGACTTCCAGGTTCCTGGCTTCAACCTGGCCCAGGCCTAGCTGCTGTGGGCATTTGGGGAATGAACCAGTGGACAGAAGATTCTTTCTCTCTCTCTCTCTCTCTCTCTGAAATAATTTTTTAAAAGAATATCATAAGTACTACAATCACTCATTGATTAGACAGCAGAAATGACAGGGGCTTCAGACAGTAAGACACCTGTGAATGGGAGTGGTTATGGAGGCCTGGAACTAAACTCAGCCTTAATGGATGTAAAGTCTTCCACTAGGCAGAGGAGGAAGCAGCCATTCTAGGAGCGACCACGACAATGACAGCATTTGGTACAGTAGTCTTGGAGAACAGAAGTGGGCCAAGTCAGCGACACAGAAGCTGAAGCAGGGGTGTAGTGGCTATTAGATCAGAGAGGTAGTTTGGGACCAGATGGTGAAGCTTCTGAATAACAGACTTTATTCTACTTTATCCTGTGTAGGGCAGGAAGTGTGGCACACCATGGGAAGCTGGGCAAGGGACACAGTAATGCTGACCTTTCAACGGGTCTCGTCGACATCAGTTCCGTGGGCAAAGGGATTCGCAGGGCAGCACATCTACATCTTGAGCCTTTTGGAAGAAGACAAAGAGGCGGGAGGAGGAAAAAGATGACGACTCGGGGATTAGCTGTGCACTTCAGTCTCCCGTGTCCACCCTGGCCTCTGACCACAGGTCATCAGCAACGGGCAGCTGAGGCAGGGAAAGGAGGAGGAACGGCAGAGCTGCTGGTGGCTGGAAAGCAAGCACTCCTGGCAGTGAACCCTACCACATCTAGGCCTAGGATAAAGCAGTGGGATTAGGTGGTTTGCTGGGCCCCATGGCGTGGTCTGTGGTGCTGTCAGCAGCCTTTAATCAAAACATGACAGTGTAGCGCACAGGGTGGCTGGTTTATGTTCTAGATATTAAATGCAGGCTTACGTGTCCCTCTATTTATACACGCACCCAGGCCTGCTGGACGACTGCCACTCCATTCAAGGGAGGTAAAATAAAACCCTCCTGTGCGGCGTGCTGAGACACACGCCGTGCATTCCTGGAAGCAGCAGGCAAGAAAGGGTTTGACCTCCAACCACAAGAAGGAATCCAGTAGGGGAAGCCACGCCGTGGCCGAACAGACCACAGAGAGAAATCCGTTCCCAGTGTGTGCAGGGCTAGTCCTGGTAAACCTGGTAGGTGGAATGTTGAACAGGCTACACCAATCTTAAAGGACAGGAAGGCATCGGGCACCACCTGCCTGCCTTCATATTAGCATCATCGTCAAACTTCAATCGTGTCCAAAATCTTGCCCTTGGGAGACCACCAAGTTTAAACTCACTTCATTCCCCAATTCACTGGGCACATCCTACAGTGGTCCTTTTTGGGAGACGAAGCCAGTTTCTACCCAAAGGAAAGCAGTCTGCAGAAATCAACCTGGTTGGTTGTATGGCAACTTGCTAAGTTTAAAATGCTGCACAGGGACAACTGGTGGGCAGCTTTTCCCTGCTACATAGATCTGTAGCTCACAGCACCAACCTCTGGTGCCTCCTGCTTAGCCATGCTCTTGAGCAGTTCTACACAAACCTACACCTTCTTACCTTGGCCACCTCCTTCCCACTGCTTTCCCATGTTACTAGACTTGAGTATTTCCAGGGCTGGTATTTAGCGAAGTGGTTAAGATGCTGTTTGGGACACCCACATCTCGTATCAGAGTGCCTGGGTTCAAGTCCCAACTCCACTCCTGGTTCCAGCTTCCTGCTAATGCATAACCCTAGGAACAGCAGGTGACGGCTCCCTGCCTCCAACGTGGGAGACCTGGATCAAGTTCCCAGTTCCTGGCTTTAGCCTGGCCCTGCCTCTGGTGGGCATTTGGGGAATGAACCAGCAAATGGGAGAGTCCTCCCCAACTTCTCCCAAATAGAGAACATTAATAAGTTTGTTTTTAAAGAACAGAATGCTTCGTCTTTTGAACTTTTCCTCGTCAAAGGGTACTTTTCACATATGCCGTTTTCTCTAACAATTCCCATACACAGCTTTCCCCCACTCATCACATCCCTCCTCCCATATGACCTCAGACATCACACACAGCCCAGTAGACTCATTGAAAATGCATGCAAATTGTAGAACCTCCATGGGTTTTCAATAAATGTTGTTAACTCACTCTCTGAGTCTTACAGCAAGACGGCATACTTCGGCAAAACACAGACATCACACAAAGAGAATTTCATGATGCAAATACAGGAGTCCCCACCATGTGCTGTGGGCACATTCTAAGAGCCCCCAGTGGATGCCTGGAATTGTGGATAGTACCAAACCCTGTATATGCTGTTTTTCCTACACATCCATACCTATGACAGTTTAATTTATAAATTAGCACACTAAGAGATTAATGCCAATAACTAATAATAAAATAGAACAATCACAACAATACATTGCAATAAAAGTTATGTGATTATTCTCTGTCTCTCTCTCTCTCTCTCTCTGTCTCTCCCTCTCTCCCCTCCTCTTCCTCTCCCTCTCTCCCAAAATATCTTGTTGTACTGTACTCAACCTTCTTCTTGTGATGATGTGCCAAGGTACAATTCCTGGGATGAGATGAGGTAAGCTGAGGTGAGTGACATAGACATTGTAATGTAGCATTAGGCTACCCTGTAAGGGTCCACTGGACATAAGCACTGGGACACTGGGACACCATGGATGTCAATCTGGCAACTGAGGCACCTGCTAAGTGACTAACGGGTGGGTAGTGTATACATCGTGAATACACTAGACAAGGGGATGATTCATGTCCCAGGCAGGACACAACAGGACAGCGCAGGATTTCTTCATGGTACCAGAACAGCATGTTAGTCAAAAGTTACAAATTTCTGGAAGTTTCTATTAAATATTTCCAGACGGCGGTTGACTATGGGCAACTGGAACTGCAAAAAGTGAAATAGCTGGGCCCTGTGCCTTGGCTTAGCCTGTAAGGACGCCACCTGCAATGCCAGCATCCCATATGGGTGCCAGTTGTAGTCCCAGCTGCTCCACTTCCGATCCAGCTCTCCAATATGGCCTGGGAAAGGAGCAGAGGATGGCCCAACTGCTTGGGTCCCTGCTTTCGCGTGGGAGACCTAGAAGATCCTGGCTGCTGGCTTCAGATCAGCCTAGTTCCGGACCTTGCACCATTTGGTGAGTGAACCAGTGGTTGGAAGAACTTTCTATCTGTCTGTAACTCTACCCCTCAAGTAAATATAAAATATATATATGATTATATATATACACATATATATATGTATATATATAAAGAAAAAGTGAAATAGCAAACACAGGGAGAGTATGGTAGTGTCATTTTTTTGGCCACACTCTGACTCTCTCTGAAGAAATGACTGGGTACTAAAACCAACGCTATTCAAATAAAAAGGGGAGCAGCAGCAGGCCTGGGGGAGGCCAACACTCACCTTAAGGAAGAGCCAAGTGTGAGGCGTCTCCCCCCAGCTTCCTCCCCCACATCCCTTCCTGTGCTCTCCCCGAGCCACTTCCGGCCAAGCCTCACTCTCCCGCCTGTCCCACCCTGGTGTTCAGATGCTCACCACATGTCCCTTGGACTGTAGTGGGTGCCTCTTGATTGATTAGTCTTCCTCACAAAAATTTCAGCAGTTTCACTTTTTGTCCAGATGTGTTACAGGTTTCCAATTGTAGCTCCTACAGTTCCACCTCCAGGTCTCTGTTCCAGGCGCCTCCTCTGCCAGTGGAAGTTTTTTTCCCCATATCTGCCTGGCTAAGTTCTATTTAATTCTCCCAAACCCAGCTTCATTGGGTCTTTCCTGAAACTCCCTTCTGGAAGAAATGTCTCTTTTCCTGAACTCTCATAGCGCTCAGTGCCTTTCTTACTACAGTCAGCATACTCTGCATCCCAGATTTCTGTTCCCCTGTCTTCTCGCTCCCGTTAAAATGGAAATTCCTGAGGGCAGCAGCTGTCACCTTCTCCCTCTGAGTATCATTCATTGTTAGCTTTCCTGTAATATATCCTCAGTGAGTATTTGTGCAACGAGAGGACACAGCAATCCTGAGTCGTTGGAGGCTGGGAACATTACCCGGATTTAAGAAAGAAGGTGATCAGTCTAGGCACTGAACCTCTCACCTCATTTCACAGACGAAGCAACAGAGGCAAAAGCAGGCAGAATGCTGCCTTCACGTGACACGCAGGACTCCCAGGGAGAACTCATCAGTCCTTACCATTCTGCTCCGTGCTGGCCTTAGGTTTTTGCTTTGTGGTTTGTTTTGCTTTTTTCAAATGTCATGCACATATGTCACGGGATTGCCTTCAGGAAGGCCAGGAATAAATACCCTACTTCTTCTCATTCTCTTCTTATTAACCCCTTCTTAATTCCGTGCCTTCATAGAAGGTGCAGATGAGCTCTATAATAACAGGAAGATGTCCAGCTCATTATATACAAGGCAGGCATGGTCTAAATAGGTCAAGAAAGCAAATGTTTCTCAAGATCAAGAATAATTCCCAGGGGGCGCCATCGTGGGACAGCGGGATAAGCTACTGCGTGCGTGTAGGAGCATTGGTTCGCGTCCTGGCTGCTTCAATTCCAATTCAGTTCCCTGCTAATGCACCTGGGAAGGCAGCAGAAGATGGTTCAATTACTTGGGTCCCTGTTACCCAGATGGAGTTCCAGGCTCCTGGCTTCAGCCTGGCCCAACCCTGGCTATTGTGGCCATTTGGGGGACTGAACCAACAGATGGAGGATAGCTCTACCTTTCAAATAAGTAAAATGCATCTTTTAACACATTAACTCCCAGATCAGAGTCTTTGGGCGTCGCAAGAAAGGAACTCTTGTCGAAAGAAAGAAACACTTGAACTGTAAGGCATGTGAGACATCTATCCATCCCAAGGCCTCATCAACAGGCAGGGCCAGGAAAACAGCCGCCTGCAAGGGTTCCTATCTCCTTTAGCCACAACACCAGGGCCTCCTTGGCACATGGTTTGGAGCCTACAAACAGAAAAGTCTCAAGGCAAGCTTTATCTTCCGGCTGCTGGTCGACTGCCAAGGACGTATTATAACCTCCTGGGCTGCACTGGAGAAGCAGACATCAGATGGGAAGAACAGATTGGCAGCATCTAGGGACAGAGAGGACCCAGCCTGGGTGGTGGCCCAGGCCCCCAGCAGAGCAATGACCACCACTAACCAGGCTAATTCTGATCCAGCAGGGAGAGTTGGAGGCCTGCTCCAGGGGAATCTCTTAGCAAATGTTTTCACAACTGGACTTGTGAGAACAGCAGTTCCTGATAGCAGCTCAGGAAGAAGATAGGAGCTATTAACACCTCTGGGGCTGAGCCCTGCAGTTCTTTGGACAGCCTCCCTGCCTGTTAGACAGAGGTGTGCAGAAACTCAGAAAGAGGTGCAGGCTGGTGACAGGTCGTTTTCCCCCTGCCTTTTTAGGAGGTAAAAAGCTAAATGGCTTTGTGCCTCTGTTTTGCTGACTGTGAAGCAGGGGCTTCTCCAGTGTGAGGGCTGTTGTGCTTGTGTATAAACTATCCTTTCTACAAGTGTAGACCAAATGTTCTCAGGCCACATCAGCCTGGAAGGGGGACCCTAACCTGAGAC